TTGTTTCCATTCATATTTTTTATACTATACATTTGTGTGTGTACATAAACAATAATATAGTACTCTTGTATGCTTATAAATTATGTAAATATTATTCTGTATGCATCATTTGCAGCTTTTTCACCCTTAATGTTTTTGAGATTTATACATATTGATGTTTATTTGAACTCTTGTATTTCTATCTACAGTTTATTCTCCTATTGATAGACATGTAGTGTTTGGGGTTTTTATTTGTTTGGTTCTTTTTTTTGCTATCAAATGGTACCATGAACCACCTTTTGGAGTCTGTGGAGGATATGATGTGTATGTACAACCTGGATTGTAGGGTGTCTGCATTTCATCTTTGTTGGTTGCTGCCAAGTTGCTTGGAAAATGATCTTACCATTGTCTTCTCCCACCAGCAGTATATGGGAGTTTTCCTTTCTCTACCTTGTTGCCAATACATGGTGTTGTCACATTTTTAAATTTTATATCTTATGTTTTCTTTAATGTTATATTTTGAGCCTTTTCCCTTGTCCTTTAAGAGTTCTTTGAAAAGTTGTCAATAGCTGTGGATTAGTTCATCGTGTGAGTGTGTTGTAATTTAACACATGTATTTCTGTTGTCTGTAGATGTTTTAATTCTTTTACTATTTTAAATGATACGATAATGGCCATCTTAATACATAAATACTTGCTTGTACTTCTGATTATTTCCTTAGGACAGATTCCAAGAGGTGAAATTCCTGAGCTAAAGGTTATGAACATTTTAAGAATCTTGTTTCATATTTCCAGATTGTTTTTTAAAAAGAGGGCCTTAATTTATCCCCCCACCAAAAATTTGAGAGTATTGTCTCTGTAAATCCTTACCAAAATTGGGGATTATCCTTTGTTTTTAATCATAGCAGTTTTATAGGTGAAAATTCCATCCTCACGTTTTTTGAAAGTAATGTCATGATGACTGACAAATCTTCTTGCTGTTATGACTAGGGATAGAGCCAACAGGTAGTGGCTCTGATCCATTGTCTCCCTCTCTGTGTAACTGTGTTGTTTCTGTGAATTTATCCTATTTCTCTTTGACTAATTCTTCTTCCTGTCCAGGAATGACACTGTGCGCTTTGCTTTGGATGTCCTGGCTATTCTTACTGTTGTGCCAAAAATCCAGCTCCAGTTGGCAGAATCAGTGGATGTGCTGGATGAGGCTGGCTCCACTGTCTCCACTGTAGGTAGGTTGTACCTTCCCATTTTTGTTACTGCTTGGACTGGATTTGTTTTCCTTTTCTCTTCTGGTTGTGGTTACTTACCTGACCTAATTTTGCAGTATTAGAACAGAAGGTAATAGGAGGGTACCGTGTCTATCCCTTCTCAGGCATGCCAGACAGCTTCATATAAGGGAGTCATGTTTTCTCCCTTATATGAACTCAGGTTTTCTGAGTGGTATGGACATATCTGCTATCATGGTACATGTACATTCCTGAAAACCTTGTACTCTGCAGAGCCTTGTGCTAAAAATAAGGTTCATAGGAAAAATGGTTGGGGACAGTAAAAAACTTAAGCAACTTTGTAATCTGAGCTCTAATAAAATCAGTAATTGACAAGCAGCTCATAATGGATAAAAGCTGTCATACACAAAAATGAAAATACACTTTGTTTGAAAATACACTTTATTAAGAGCAAGGGTGATGAGGGCTGCTCCTAAGATGAACATGGAAAGTAGTGTGAATGGCTGAGGGTCCTGGGGTGCACCACTCTGGGGAGAAAGTCCAAAGTTTAGCCACTTGTTTTTAACTTTCTTCATATATAGCAGAAAGGTTTCTGCTGCCACTGTAGCAGCCAGGCTGAGGGCTTTTTGTTTCCTGCTGAAGGTTTTAATTTAGTACCACTATATTTGCTCACCTTACTTAGGAAAATTTGCAAATAAACCTTGGTGAGTTCCATATAATACTGACATCATCCCCCTATTTAACAACTGCATATGAGGTATTGCATCATAAAGATACATTATAGTAGAACTGATTATGTTTTATACAAATATTTCCTTGTACTTTTAGAAAAGGTGTGGTAGTTTTCTTTTAAGTGGAACAAGATGAATAGAACTTTAAATTTTGACTCTGAAGCAACTGTTGAAGTTGACCATTAGTTTTATGAGGGATAATATAAAATGTTTTGTCCCCCCTCCCTCAATAGGTATCAGCATTATTTTGGGAGTAGCTGAGGGTGAGTTCTTTATCCATGATGCTGAAATCCAGAAGTCAGCACTTCAAATTATCATCAATTGTGTGTGTGGCCCGGATAACCGAATTTCCAGTATTGGCAAATTTATCTCTGGAACTCCTCGGAGGAAGCTGCCTCAGACTCCCAAAAGTAGTGAGCACATCCTGGCCAAGATGTGGAATGTGGTCCAATCCAACAATGGCATCAAGGTGCTCCTGTCCTTACTGTCCATCAAGATGCCCATCACAGATGCAGACCAGATCCGGGCCCTGGCCTGCAAGGCCCTAGTGGGCCTGTCTCGAAGTAGCACTGTTCGGCAGATTATCAGCAAACTGCCCCTTTTCAGCAGCTGCCAGATCCAGCAGCTGATGAAGGAGCCTGTGCTGCAGGACAAGCGCAGTGACCATGTCAAGTTCTGCAAGTATGCTGCTGAACTCATTGAACGGGTGTCAGGAAAGCCACTTCTCATTGGCACTGATGTGTCCCTGGCACGACTGCAGAAAGCAGATGTTGTTGCCCAGTCAAGGATCTCCTTCCCTGAGAAAGAGCTGCTTCTGTTGATACGAAACCATCTCATTTCTAAAGGGCTTGGGGAGACAGCAACCGTGCTGACAAAAGAGGCCGACCTGCCCATGACTGCTGCTTCCCATTCTTCTGCCTTCACCCCAGTCACTGCTGCTGCTTCTCCTGTCTCTCTTCCCCGAACTCCTCGCATCGCCAATGGCATTGCAACTCGACTGGGCAGCCATGTTGCTGTGGGTACCACTGCCCCTTCTGCCCCCACTGCCCATCCTCAGCCACGGCCCCCCCAGGGTTCACTAGCTCTGCCTGGCCCGTCTTATGCAGGCAACTCCCCTTTGATTGGTAGGATCAGTTTTATCAGAGAGAGACCATCACCCTGCAATGGCAGGAAAATCAGAGTGTTGCGGCAGAAGTCGGACCATGGCGCCTACAGCCAAAGCCCAGCCATAAAAAAGCAGTTGGACAGACATCTTCCTTCCCCACCTACGCTGGACAGTATCATCACAGAATATCTTAGAGAGCAGCATGCGCGCTGCAAGAACCCAGTTGCCACCTGCCCACCTTTCTCTCTCTTTACTCCTCACCAATGTCCTGAGCCAAAACAGAGGCGGCAAGCGCCAATAAACTTTACCTCAAGGCTAAACCGCAGGGCATCATTTCCAAAGTATGGCGGGGTGGATGGCGGATGCTTTGATAGGCACCTTATCTTTAGCAGGTAAGGAGAGGCCACCTCCCTGGGGATTGGAATGATTTGGGCCGTGTCACATAGAGTGATTAGTTCACATAGCCCTTTATTGGCCTGAAATACCAGTGACTGTCACTTTTGTGTGACTAGATGAGCAATGTGACTGTACTCCCTTTTGTCAAACATGGGTTCCTTGTGTGATTGTTGGCAATATATTTATATGAAACTATGTGTTCTTGTTACAACTAGTATGTTTCCAAGAACCCATGGAACATGCTGTCTCTAGGCTCCCCAACTTGTTCTGTGCTGGTTCAAGTTGTCTCCTGTTCTGGTTCTTTATAAAATCTCATGTAAAGGTCATGGATTACAGGTTTTAAACATGGGAATTTTTTATATTGTTTAAACTTGTAAGTGGAATTCCTTTGCTCTCATTTAAAATGAAAATTAACTACTAAAGGTCACTGATATTTTGGAAGACCCATTTGAAACATAAATGCTCTGTGTTTTTTCTTTCGTCCTAGCAGTTTTCTTTTCCTGAGTTCCTGCGCATTCTTTGTCTCTGATTCTGTTTCTCTCTCTCTTTATTTTTGCTTAGGTTCCGTCCTATTTCAGTGTTCCGGGAAGCCAATGAGGATGAGAGTGGCTTCACTTGCTGTGCGTTCTCAGCACGGGAGCGGTTCCTGATGCTTGGCACCTGCACTGGGCAGTTGAAGCTCTATAATGTGTTTAGTGGACAGGAGGAGGCCAGCTATAACTGTCACAACTCAGCCATCACACACCTTGAGCCTTCCAGGGTGAGGGTCCTGTCCTACGTTGTTCTTAGTCATTCTTTTAAGATGGGTTGGTGAACTTCGGGCCTGTTTGCTGGCTGGCTGGCTGCCTGTATTTGTACATAAAGTTTTATTGGAACACAGCCATGCTCATGTGTTTATGTATTGTTTGTGGCTACTTCTGTGCTACAATGGCAGAGTTGAGTAGTTGTAACACAGATCCTACGGCCCTCAGAGCCTAAATCTGGCCTTCTACATAATGTTTGTCAATCCTGTTCTAAGACCGAGGGGGGAGGGGGTGGTGGTGTGTGTGTGTGTGTGTGCGTGCGTTTGTGTGTGTGTTTATTTATTTTAATTTGCCTCAGTTGGTAACTGAAACTACCAACTATGATCACAAAAATTTTATTTTTATGTCAAATCTTAAAGTGTTATGAATTTTTAGGAAAACAAACATTATATGATTCCAGTGGGTCATAGTTTATTAGTACTGTTCTGTGAATGGAATTGACACCTTTGCTATTCCTAAAAGTCAGAACTGTTTAGGATAATTTCCCTGATTTTAGAGTAAAGGAAGCTCACTCACCCTTTATTGGGCTTTCTCTTCAAAAGACCTTTAGGAGTCCTAGCTAGAAAGTCTAACATGTTTTCAGTTGACTGATATTTCAGATGAAGGAGACTGAGGAATATGGCCAAATATTAAGAAACGAGGAACCATCCTGACATTTTTCCAAGTTGTTTTTCCCCCTACCTTTGAAACTATTGTATTTTATGTTACCAGGTTAGGAGGATTTAATGTTATCTTAAATTTAGTTATTTCTTAGGATACTGCAGGTACTTAAATCCTAGTAGATTCTGACCATTTCTTGGTTCCTGGGAGTTTTTCTGTTATCTTTATAATCCAACAGTATTTTTTTTTTTTTTAAAGATTTTTATTGGGGAATTGGGGGGATGGGAACAGCGCTGGGGAATTGGGGTAAGGGGAACAGACAAGTTGCTGTAGTTTTGTTCTTCAGTCTAGTTGTGGAGGACGCTGCTGCACTGGCCCCAAGCTGGCACCATCATTGCACTCTTCCCGGGCGAGGCAGATCAGTCGCTGGCTTCTGGATGGCCGCTCACGCTGGCTGCTGGCCGCTCACGCTGGCTGCTGGCTACACACGGTAGCCCATGGCAACCCACTGCCACAGGGACTGCAGCCTACGCCGTGGCCGGCGACTCACGGCAGCCCAGCTCCAGGTTGAGCTGTTGTTCAGCATCTTAGCTGTGGAGGGCAGTGTCACTGGCACTCATATGTGGGATCTGAACCGGGGCCCTCTGGCATCCCAAGCGAGTTCTTAACCATCGCACCACTCGGCCAGCCCCCCAACAGTATTTTTTAAGTTTGTATTTTAAGATGTCACAGATCGTGACGTCTGCATTTATGTGAACACATGGTCACTGACCTTGGGCCTCCTCCTCCTCCTCCTTTTAGGACGGGTCCTTGCTGCTGACATCTGCTACTTGGAGCCAGCCTCTGTCTGCACTTTGGGGAATGAAATCAGTATTTGATATGAAGTATGTATCTACCTTTTCAACCTGCTTTCTGTTTTTACAGCTTGCCTAATCATGCTCCCGTTTTGGGAGAAGAGGAATGCTGTGAATTATTGCTAAATTTCTCTCTTCCTCATCTGTGTCTCATGTTTAATAAGATTTTATCTTTCTTAATCCCTGGATATTTTTACTATGTGTATACATGCCCATCACACAGCAGACCCTTCTCTATTCTACAGTGGCACATCTATTTATTTTCTTATGTTCACAAATGAGTATGATAGCTATACTCTTTGCTGGGGCATATTTCAAAGACATTGTGCCTCATTAGCTATTTCTTTAACCACATAATTCCCTTTAATTATTTTGGATCTACTTGGATGGAGAGAATTTCCTTTTTAATCTTAAGTGTACAATAGTTTCCTCTTTGGGAGCTGAGAATCTTCAGGTGAGTATAGTTGGGCAGGAGCCTGAGCATCACCTTTATTTTCAGTTGGTTGAACAAGTATGTCCTGAAGGTCCGTGACTTCTGTTTGTCCGTAGGCACTCCTTCACAGAAGATCACTATGTTGAGTTCAGTAAGCACTCTCAAGATCGGGTCATAGGCACAAAAGGAGATATTGCCCATGTAAGTACTGAATCCACTGCTTTCAAACTGATTATGCCGGTTTGTTCATGCTGAAATTTCCTGGACTGAATGTGAGGACTTAAGTCCTGTGGTCGACTAGAAATTACTCAGAGATATTCTTTCCAGTTAGACTCTAGAAGGGTAATAAAATAGTTCTAAGCTATATGGGAAAAATGTAAAAGAACTGAACAGGAACTTAATCTGGCAATTTGAGAAAGATGTCATTAACACAGCAGGTGTTTTAAAATACTAAATTTTAGATGAAATAAAGTCCCTGCCTTTATAGAGCCTCATTGGGGAGACAATAAGTAAAGAAGCAACTCTATGGTATATCAGGTAGTAGGTGCTGCTGAAGAAAAGAAAGCAAGGTAAGAGGTAGAAAGTGCTTGTTAGTGGTATGAGGCACTTTTGTTTTATCTGGGATAGTCGGTGTCACTGATGGGTTAATGTTTAAGCAGCACCTTGAAGGAAGTATGGGTGTCATGCAGATGTGTGGGGGAAGAGTGTTATAAGAGGGAATGGCAAGGGAATAGCTCTTACTTGGGAGGTAGGAGGGGGAGGAGAGGGTGAGAGTTGAGGTCAGTAGGGATCATGCAGTGTCTGGTAGGTTAGGACTTTTGGCTGTACCTCTGAGTGAGATGAAGGCGCTGGAGGGTGAACTCAGGACACATGACGGTGTAAAATTCCTAAAATGTGAGTCTGGTTTCTGTGAGAGTAGCAGGAGCACACTTTCCAGTTAGGAGGGTGTTGTGTCAGCCTACACATGAGAGCTGCAGTGAGGCAAGGCCGGGTGGGTATGGCGGAGCTGATGACAAGTGACGCATCTGGGCCCTGGGGTTTTGGACACATGAAGTTTATGTTTCTTTTAGACATTCAAGGTAGGAGAGGGCAGTTGAATATATAAATTGGGAGCTGAAGGGAGAGATCTGGGGTGGGAGATATAAATAGAGGAGCTGTCCACATGTTGATAGTATTGGAGCCCTAAATCTGGATGAGGTCATTACGGAAGCTGGAGAAGTGTAGGGACTGAGTCCTGACACGTGCCGATATTTAGAAGTTGCCAAGCGAGGAGGAACTTGGGGAGGAGACCAGAAAGTGTCCAGTAAGGCAGCAGGAGAGCCCAGGAAAGAGATGTGTCCTAGACGATGCGGGGTGGGGGTGGGGGGGGCGGAGCTCGAGAAAGGATTGATCAGTGGGTCAGAGACTGATGGTTAGGTGCTTAAGGTGAGAATCGAGAGGTGACCTTTGATTTAACAACATGCAGGTCATTGTTTAACCATGGCAGGGGCTAGTTCTGTGCACTGAGGTGAAAAGCTGATTATAGTGAGATCGTGAGAGAACAGGAGGAGAGACATGGAGACACTGAGTATAGACAAGTCTTTTAAAGTGTTTTGCTGAAAAACAGCAGAGAAGTGGGTAGTATCTTGAGAGGTGTACACAGCGGGTGGTGAAGGGAGGGTTTTCCTCAAACTTTTCTTTTGAAAATGTTAAAATATATAGACGAGTTGAAAGAATAGTACATATACCTGCCACCTAGATTCTTCAATAATTTGCCATATTTTCTTCCTGTGTGTTTTTCTGAATCATTTGAAAGTAAGTTGCAAACATCACGATGTTTTATCCTTAAGTCTTATAGCATGTGTATCCTAACAGTAAGGATATTTATTATATAATTACACTCTATTATCATATTTAAGAAAATTTATAAGTAAATCCCAAATATCATCTAATATCCATTCCATACTCAGTTTTCCCGATTGTTCCTGATGTGTTTGGTTTCAAATGTTTTTTTGTTTTTTTTTGAACCAGGATCCAGCCAAGATTCACATATTGCATTTGGTTGTTATGTCTCACTAATGTTTTAAAGCCAAGAACCATTTCTGCAGTTTTCATGACATTGACTTTTGAAGAGACCAGGCTAGTTGTCTTGTCCCATGATCTGGATTTGTTTGATTGTTTACTTGTGGTGTCTCCTTATTTGTTTCTGTATTAAAGGAGGATTTTTAAAAAGATTGGAAACATTACAGTATGTCTGTCAGCTGATGGGAAAGATCTGGTCTCTGCGTGGGATGCACATTGTAGACTTCGGAGCTTTTAGTGTTGTAGGGCCAAAATATGCACATGGGGAGATTTTAGGGAGAAAAGGATATTTCATTGATGTTTTTTTCCAAAAAGTAACCCTTAAGAGTATTCTGTGTGTAATTGTTGGTTAATCCATATGCAGAATTTCTCAGTTTCAGTCTTAGAAACATTTTCTGTTTCTTGAAAGGGGGAGGGGAAGAAGAGGGTTGTCTTATCCCTATTGCAGTCTCACTTCTCATTTTCTTACTTGTGGAGACTTTTCAAACCTTGAATGGGAACCAAAGCACTTAAACTTTTCTTGGATGGGTGTGGTCTTCCTACTTTCCAGTTATTTTTTAATATTAGGGCTTTTGTAATTTTGGTGGGTTTTGGAAAGCATGGGAGCGATATTTACACAGGTTCTCTTTGAATTTTTCAACGGATGGATTGGTCTGATTTTTCTCTTCCCACCCCTTCTTCTCTAAAGATTTATGATATTCAGACTGGCAACAAGCTGTTGACTCTGTTTAACCCAGATCTTGCCAACAACTACAAGAGGAACTGTGCCACCTTTAACCCTACAGATGATCTTGTCTTAAATGATGGCGTCCTCTGGGATGTCCGCTCCGCACAGGCCATCCACAAGTTTGACAAGTTCAACATGAATATCAGTGGTGTTTTCCATCCGAATGGGCTGGAGGTCATCATTAATACTGAGATTGTATCCTTTACACCCGCGTCTTCCTTTCTATTTGTCTAGTTTGTGATGCAGAAATAAGTTATTTTTCTGTTAATACCTGTTTAGAGTATCCACACAAGTACCACACAGGTAATGACCTGGTGCCTCTCCCTTGGTCTGAAGTGTCAGTGACTCTCCAGTGCACTTGTGTGGATGCTGAGAATTAGTGGTGCCCGTAGCAGCACGTTTTCTTTGTGTTGGGAAGAGTGACCTTATTCCTGCGTTCCACTTCCCCAAGTACTGAATTGACTTTTATCTATCTTCAGGAGGATTTTACTCTTGCTGCATAGAAATCAGTTGCTAGACATAAGAGTAAAATGAAGTGCTACTGTTGAGAGGACGGGAACTAATGTAGCTTTCATGTATATGAGGACACTGGAGGAGATTTTCAGGGATGTTATTCAGTAACGAATTCTGCATGCTTTTATTTTACCTTCATTTCACTGACTTTTTAAAAACATTGACACCTAGCAGGAGGAGGAAAATGTGGTATTTCAGAATTTCTCCTATGAGGTTATATCAGAAGTTTTATTATGTACAACAGTTTTTCTTAACCACTCCCCTCCTAGTGGGACCTTCGCACGTTTCATCTTTTACACACAGTTCCTGCTCTGGATCAGTGTCGTGTGGTATTCAACCACACGGGGACAGTGATGTATGGAGGTAATAAGCTTTTTACTTCATTCTTCTCTTTCTCCCTTCTCTCCCCACTCACTTAGTTTGACACTTCCTTTTTGGAAAATGCTCTCAAATGTGAATTGGAAAGCATTTGAAAGTTGTAGCATAAAAGATAAAATGATACACAAATGATGACAGAAGATGAAAGTAATGTTGATTTAGGGTAAAAGGCCACTGGCTTTGAAGAGAACAAGTAAATAAGTCTTGTATAGAAAGGAATTTCATGCAGTAATTTCCCATGTGTATCATGAACTTAAAGAAGAACCTTTGTATCTGTTGTCTTGTGATGTGAGCCCTCACCTGTAACACTTGCTCGGAGCTAGACGAGGGGTTGAGGTTAGTGTTTGCCGAACTAGTTGGGGTGTGCAGGGAGGACACTTGTGAATAGGAGCGATATCTGATTCTAATAGTGTTTCGCTCCCCAACCTCTTCCCCCCCTTCCCTCCCAACTAGCTATGTTGCAGGCAGATGATGAAGATGACTTAATGGAAGAGAGGATGAAAAGCCCTTTTGGGTCATCCTTCCGAACATTTAATGCAACCGACTATAAACCTATAGGTAAGCTCAAAGGGGCAGACCTTGATCATATCATTTTGTCGTATTTTGGTGTTCCTTATTTATGATCCTCCATTTTCTGGGAGGACTGTAATTTTTCATTGAAAAGCAGAGGAGTTATGGAAATATTTATGAGCAATCACCTTGGATTCCTTTAGAGAAAAAGCTGCTGGTTTTAAGGTCACAGCAATAGTCCAATCCCGAGTCTTGTCACATTCTGTTTTCCAGCGACTATTGATGTGAAACGGAACATCTTTGACCTGTGTACAGACACCAAAGACTGCTACCTTGCTGTCATTGAGGTAAAGGGAGCCAGCAGAAGCTGCTGTTCTGTTGGGATGTTCAGCATCACTTTACTACAGGCATTTCTTCTCATATATGTCATAAAGTTGATGCATTCCTGATGGTAGATTATTGCTAACCGATTGATTTGATGGGGTTTGGGAAATATACAGTATAAGGGAAATAGTAAGAAGAATGCCAGTATAAAACAGTGTGGAGAGTCCTGTCTCCTGTTATCCTGGACTCACACGTCATCCCAGTTTTAGAGGTGTCTGGATCTCTCACCAGAGCAAGACAGGTTTGTTCCAAGGATGCATCTCTCTTGTGCCTATATCCCTCACCGCCCAAGCCTTCTCATCCTGTTTTCCTTTCCCTGTGTCCTTAGAGTCAGTTCAAGAATCTTGGGTTTCGGAAGCTTTGATAGCTCCAGGGTCAAGGTGCATGGGTGCCGTTCAGAGCTGAGGTACGGGTGTGGGCCTCCTGAAAACTAACAGCTCCTTGTGGACTGGGTGTTCTGTTTCAGAACCAAAGCAGCATGGATGCTCTAAACATGGACACCGTGTGCAGGCTGTATGAAGTGGGCAGGCAGCGTCTGGCTGAGGATGAGGATGAAGAGGAAGACCAGGTCAGTGGGCTTTGAGATTTCTTTTTGCTGAACAATTTTTATAGAGGCCGTGCTGTTCTGCATTTTGCTTTGGGTTTTTATTTTTAAGATCAGCCTTTGCTACCTGTTGGCATATTCTGAAGGCCTATCATGTGCCCTTGATCACTGAAACTCAGAAGAAAATAGATTTTGTTATTACAAAACTTTAACCAGTACCTGATGGTCCTGTGCGTTCCAGTGTAAATTAATTTGTAGGTTAGCAATCTCTGATTTTGTTTTAGAGATTTCCTTGAGTTCACCCTTGGGACCAATGCCTGCCCTTTCTGGCTTCCCATATATCCAGTGTCAATCCAAATCAGAAAAGTCACTCTGCTGAGATCGTAGAAATGGCTTCACCTTTAAAAACTTCTAGTTTGCATTGTCTTAGTTTAATGGCATAGCAGAGTCTGTTTTCAGAGTCAAGAGTGGAGTTTATAGGTAAAGAGAATATTTTGAGGCTTTTGAGAAATTAAACATTTATAAAATGTGGGTCGATAGTATCATGTCCCATAGAGTCTTTGCTTTTCCTTTTCCTGGGGGTGTTAAATTATGGTCATGTCATGTTAGGTGCTTGCCTGTGTGGTGTGTCAGTATCAGTTCTGAAGAGTTTTGGCAGATCTTTTCAGTTTACTGGGCTCATAACCACATTCCTTTTTCAAGTGTACACTCTCCAGGCCAAATTCTTGTGTCTAATCTGAGAAATATTCTTTGCTGGGTGAGTAATATAAAGTTGAAAATGAATGACCAGGATTTTACTTTTTTGTTGCAGATATTAAAGGAGGTAAAATGTCTCTTTGTTGGATCTCGGGTTCATTTTCTGATTTTTCTTGCACTGTGGTATGGCTTAGTGTTGGTGCTTTGTCTCCTCTTGAGGGGCACAGGTGCTCTGGGTGAGGAGAGAGGCGCCGTCGGATGAGAAGCAGCACACTTCCCCGTTTGCTCTGCCATCTCTCTCACCCTCATCCTGCCCCTAAGCTTTGGTAAATTATGCTCCCTGGTTAGGGCTAATGGAATAGCTTTCTGTTAGCTTCGTTCCCAAA